CACCACCCATCATCTGAGTCTTATCCCAACTATTTGAAGTTGGCTAAACGAATTTTATTCCATCATTCCGCTCTATCAAGGGTCATGCCCTCAGTCAGACTATATGTCACCATATCTTTTCTCACTACTTTCATCTATATCCTTTGAGTCATTCCCCTTGCCCTTCTATAGTCTTATATTTGAACTAAATCAAATGGAATTTTATATGAAATTAAGAATTCATAGGGTGGGTGTCTTGAATTTTCACTAAACCTACCTAAAGAAGGAAGAACCAATGGAAAACTAAGATGAATAACGAAACAAATGAATTTAAGACAAACTAAGAATTCTTAGGGTGGGTGTGTCTTTAAGTTCTCATTAATCCTCTTTAAAGAAGAAATTCATTATGTAAATCAACTAAATTTTCATTGATTTGTTGGGGTTCAAACTAGGATGGTTTCAAACTAGGTTCGCAAAGGGCCGCGCCTCAGTTGGGATGGCCTTGGGCCTAGCACTAGTCCATACACTTCGACCAGGCCGAAGAAGCTTGGTTCTGTCTGGCTTGGCCAAGCCAAACACAATTCAAGAGAATAAAAGAAAAAAAGTACCAAAAAATGGGTTGGGCTGAGGCAGCCCTGTCGAGTGTGGTGGCTTGGACTTAGTCTGGCTTTGGAACCACATCTTGTAGCTTCTGCCCTAGTTTTTGGGGCCGGGCCAGGCTGCTCGGCCCATTGCGAGGCCTAATTCAAATCAGTGGTTTTAAAAACGGATCAGTGCCCCAGATTGGGCACCCCAAAAACCCATCCGGATTGGTGAATCGGTATTTCAGATCGGAAATCGATCGGATTCAGCCTTAAAAAAAATTTAAAAAATTATTAAAAATCATTTATAAATGTTGTTTTTTAGTAATCCATTAAAAAATAAGAGTACTACATATATGAACTACTGTTGACTATTAAATTTAATAATTTAATTTAATTTTGCATCAAAATAATTTAATTTAATTTTTTTAAAAACCATTTTATATGATTAAAAAAAAGAAAAAGTTTATATTAGGTTGCAACCTTACCTCTATAGCTACGGATGCACCTCAAAAATCCATCGAAAAAGGTAATTTTAATGTTGCAAAACCCTTTGATTGATCATCTCGACATCGAGATGTATGACCATGAAAAATAAAAAGATTTTAAGTTTCAGAAATAGTGCATTTTACAATATATTATTTACACCGCCCATTTTCAAGATTTTCATATGTTTATAGATCTACTTGATTTTAACTATTTTTT